AGAGGGAAAAAAATGCCTGTGAAAAACGTGTCATTAAAGGAAACAGAAGAATATTATATAAAACATTTGCTTTGCAGTCTATGGAAAAGAAATAGGAAATTATGAGGAGAGAACAATTTGAGATGAAAGGGAGTTAGCTAAGATGAGGATAAATTGCTAGTAAATTAAAAATATCAAGTCAGAAATAAAATCTACATAGAAAGTGGTAAGGAGCAGAATTAACAGTATAGAAACTCTCATCAATGACATATAGGTTAAACCTAAGAAGTTCTAGTGTAGAGAAGAAAAAAAGTTCTGAGGGAAAGGATAATACTTAAAGGAATCTAAATGAAGACCCTATTTCACAAATTCCTGGGAGTGAAATATAGGACAAATCTAAAGAAAGAAAATTACATAACTTTAATGAGAGACGTAAAAGAATATTTGAATAAGAAACGTAGTATTTTTGGTTGGACTTTACATATGGAGATGGGAATTTAAAGGTATGATAGAAGAAAATACTGAGTTGTCAAACACTTTATGCAGATTAAAGAGGCACACATCCCAATAAGTTGATGAAAAAGATTTGCAAATAGACATGCGAAGGAAATACTTTCCTAATTACAAGAATAAAGAAAAAGTTATCTAACCGTTTCTTTAGAACTATAAAAATTAACATTAGGTGCCATATCAATATAACATTAATGTCAAAAGAGAAAAATTAAACCATAATTTCAATAGATTCTAAAAAGGCATATGATAAAATTCAATGTCCATATGAGCATATGTCCTTTACATAACAAAGAATATTTTAAACCAACAGTCAACATACTTACAGTAAAGCACTAGGGATAGTCTCTGTAATAAAGAACGAAACAAAAATATTTTTACGAACTTTATCCTAGTGTTTTGAACAGTGTAACAAGACACGAAAGTAAAACAAATATTCTATTGATAAGGAAAAGACATTGCTTGAACATAATATGATTAGATGTATATATATTTATATAAACTAAGTTTCTGATTTAATCAAGGATACAGAAGTTAAGAGGAAGAATATAAATTCATTGCGAGCAGAAATAGGTGCAGCATATATTTCCACAGTTTTCTCATGTTCTCTTTTCTCTATGTGGAGTTGAGGTGGAACCTGGTAGACTAGAGAAAGAAGCTTATTTTGCCTCTGCCCTTTTACACTGGGCTTACACCTACATTGCAGAAGAAAGTACACTGATAAATCTACCTAAAATAATGTTTATAAGCATTCTCTTGTTTCTGAAAATAAACAGCAAGACCACATCCTTCTCAGGGCAGGGGGATAAAGCAGAGTTGGTGCCCAGGAATTCCCAAACAATATCTCTTCCTCTAGCTCTGTAATGTCCCAGGAGCTCCTTTTCCACAAGTATCTAAGAGAATCTTACTGTTTTGGAATTAATAAAAGGTCTCAGAAAAACACTCACTGTACACCATCAATAATTATTTAAACAGTATAGTGAAGGAGCAGTCCACTTACTCTAGCAAACACAATTAAGTTCCTAGGCATAATCATAAGAAAAACATAGCTTGCTATGTACAAGAATAAACTTTATTGTGAAATAGAAAAGAAAACATGAAGCATAGAGACACAGCATGTTTCTCTATGAGAAGTTATTCTTCTGAAATTGTTTGAAGAACAAAACAATCCTAAAGTTCATTTGTAAGAACAGATACTATAGGAGAATAAATAAAATTTGAAAACAGAGAAAATCAAAAGGCTTGCCCCCAGATATAAAAAGTTATCACAAAGTTACAATAAGTAGAACAATGTAGTCCTGACATGAGAATGACAACCAGATCAGTAGGAAGATGGTGCTAACAGAAAATCGTAGCAAATACACGGAATTAACATATGATAAAGGGTGCATGGAAAATCAACACAGATATAAAAAATTATCACAAAATTACAATAAGTAGAGCAGTGTAGTCCTGACATGAGAATGACAGATCAGTAGGAAGATAGTACTAACACAAAATCGTAGCAAATACATGGAATTAACATATGATAAAGGGTGCATGGAAAATCAACAGAATGACTAGACTATCCAATGATTGGGTGTGGGGAAACTGATTAACTGCTTTGAAAAAATCAACCTCTGTGTAAACCCAAATATTGTTGGTTTTCTCCTGTGTACTTTTGCAATTTTTTTTTTATAATCATGGAGAAAAGTTGTAAGCAATATTCCTAGGCTCTCCCACAGAAGCCCACCTAGGGAGGAGTTATAGCACTGAATAAAGTTCTAGAGGAGGTCTGAGCTCTAGTTCCGATTCTGCCTCTATCTAGTTGTGTGACCTTGGATAAGTTATGTCATCATTGTGTCATTTTTCTTAATTTTAAGATGAGATCTTTGAATTTAATTTTCTCCAATTTCACATCCAAGTCTAAAATTTCATGTTCTGAGGTATAATAATATAGTAGTATTCAAGACAAATCTCACTACCATGAAGAACTACATCTCCCAAGGATAACAGAATGAAATCTGGAGTCAGAGTGCCTGGGTCCCAACCTTGGTTTTAACGCTAGCTGTGTGATTTTAGGGAAGTTTTGCATCCTTCTCTCTATCTGTTTCCTCAACCAAAAATAAATGGAGGGTCATGCCCTGGCTGCTGTGTTCCATGGTTAGAGCGTAGGCCAGTGATGGCGAACCTTTTGAGCTCGGCGTGTCAGCATTTTGAAAAACCCTAACTTAACTCTGGTGCCGTGTCACATATAGAAATTTTTTGATATTTGCAACCATAGTAAAACAAAGACTTATATTTTTGATATTTATTTTATATATTTAAATGCCATTTAACAAAGAAAAATCAACCAAAAAAATGAGTTCACGTGTCACCTCTGACACGCGTGTCATAGGCTCGCCATCACTGGTCTAAACTATATGACATTAAACTGATGGAAGCTGTTAGCAGAGCCCAGCAAGGACCCACGATTCAGAGTCAGAATGATGGACTTGACAATAAGCTAAGTGAGGAGGCAACCAATCATTGTGTCTCTCTCATCTCTCTCTCTCTCTCTCTCTCTCGCTCTCTCTCTCCCCCCTCCCTCAAAAAATAAATGAATAAAAATAAACTGAGAGTCATGATACTACATAGTAGGCTTGTTGTGAGAAATAAAGCAATACACATAAGTGCATAAAACGGGCCTGGCATATACTTACTCAGTACATTGTTTTAAATTTGAGAGGCCAGGAGCATAATTCTACCACCACCTACCCATCCACTCAAGCACAATGAAGTCAAGGCCTTCTTCTTGACTTTTCGAAGGAGATTCTGATCCACATTGGTAGGAGGTTATTCTGTGATTAGAAAAAAGTCCAGGTGATTCTGATCCTCTGTCCTTTTATTCCTAATCCTCAAGAGACACTGTCAGGGTCTTTGAGATAGAGTAGCCATTCCCAAGCTCTATAGCAAGTGACTAATCTTGGGCATTAGCACATTCAAGACATAAAAATACAGAGGTAAAAAAATTATATTTCAATTTATTTGATAGTTAAATTTATTTTTTTTATTTTTTATTGATTAAGTTATTACATGTGTCCTTATCCCCACATTACCCCCCCATCTCCCCCACTCATGCCCTCACGCCGCTGTTGTCTGTGTCCATTGGTTACGCCTATATGCTAGCATATAAAGTCCTTTGGTTAAATTTAGATGCATAGGGGATGGATTTGATTTTTTTGCTCAACGTATCAATATTTTCAGAAGTTTTTTCTTAATATAATTTGAGAAGTACCAGACAAAGTTTAAGTGCATTTTAACACTTACAAATTAAATTATCTGTTAGTACTTGATATTGATAGTCAAATCAAAGTTGAATTCTTTTGAAGTATTAGTTCATTTTCCAATTATGTTCTAATGATTTTTTAAAATATTAATAAATTGCTATGATCAATTCTTTTATGTTTTCCAATTAGTCATAGGCCCTCTAAATCTGCTATTGTCATTTAGTTTTATTACTGCTTTATTTTGTTCACTTTAGTACTTCAATAAGACGTTTCCTTTAAACAAGAATGTGTACTAAAAATTTCCCCTAAATTCTAAAAAAGGAGCTAGTTACAAATCTTTCAGTAACTAACATATAGGTTAAAAGTTTCTCCATGTTAAGTCCCATCTTTGCTTTATTTCAACTGAAAGCAAAGTTCAAATTCACCCATGGATGCTAATAATAGGTCTTATTTTTCTTTCATCCCTTACCAAGCATCTTCCATTTTTCCTGAAATACTCCGGCTGCTTTTAATATCTCTTCACCGATGCTCAGAGTTGACAGTTTGGGTCATGGAATGGGTCGTGTTTTATAGAGAACATGTCCACAGCCATAGTAAACCTTGATCCAAGAGCAATGGGAAATAGTGGGGACCATCTCTCTTATTATTGCCTGTCTCGTCAAATAAATGATATTATGGACCAGATTGGGTTAGTGGGAAATTAGGCTTATATATTTGATATAAGAAAGAGTAGACATAGTTTTCTAAATCGATGTGGAAAATCCTAAATCAGGGGCAGCAGAAAGGGAAATGAAATTTTTATGGCCACTGGGATTCTGGCGAGAGTAGCAATTTCACAGATAATTTTGCATGTAACATGTTTTGAAGAAAAGGAAAAAGAAGTTTGGTGTACATATTGAACAATCCACCTATAGATGTTTTTTCTCTTGCTCTCTCTAATTGTAAAATTGATAATTAAACTTAGGTAAACAGGGGACGATCTTGATTGTTTTTACAGCATATCTCTTCATTTTCCCTAAATAAGTTTGGAAAGTGAAGATTTATTTGAAATAACAATAGAAACTTTGGATTAGATGCCAGTAAATCTGGAAAATGGGGATTTGTTGAATGACCAGAGAAGTCACTGAGGCAACTAATTTATAAAATTAGAATAATTAGCAATTTCTTCTATTTATAGTATTCATTTCCTAGATTTAGATAAATGAACCTATTATATTCAGGAATTGTTTTGTATACTAGATTCTGATATTAAATTAATTTCAGTTTCTTTTAGTGATCCCTACACACACTTTGAAAGAGTTGTGAAGGCTCTCCTGATCAATGCTTTAGATGAATCATTCCTGGGAACATTATATGGTAAGCTAATAATATGAATGCAACAATTTTTTTTTCTAATTTTTAAACAACCATATATATTGTATAAAAAAACACAGGAGACCCATCCGTAGGTCCCTCCAGTTATTGTTCCCTCTAAAATCAACTGTACAAAAATCTATTCAAAAACTTGTTTATTATTTGAAATGTGGACAGGACAAAAGAAACAATGTGACAGCTCCCTGATCTTAGAGCATTCACTGTGAATTTGAAGATATAGGATATGTACTCTTAAAATAGCAGAGTAGTTCAACACTCATGTGTTGTCCCAGCCTCTGTAGGCTCCTTGAATTTCACCAAAAGTGATGCTGATTTAAGCTTCTGTGCCTTTGCTCATGCTGATCCTCCCTAGAATATAATCCCTTTCTACCCTAGATTGTCCAGGTGGGTATGAAATCATTTTCACTATTAAAGCTATCTATGACCTACTCAAATAGTACTTGTCACTCCCTCAGTTGTGCTGTCATTATACTGAGTATGGTGGTACTGATGTGTGTGTACTTTTCATACTTGTATTGAAAATTTATTTTGCCTTTCTCCCTTTCAATACCATGAGAAGAGGCATACCTTATGTTTATATACTTATCTCTTGCATCTAGCACACTATATAAAGACTATAAATATGTTCTGTTGAATTATCTATCTGCATGCCAAAATAAGGTTTCATTCATAGCTTGTTGAACAAGTATTTGTTGAGAGCCGACTAAGGGCCAGGCGTTATTTGAGAGCTGGAGATATGGCAGTGACTATGACATGAGCTTCCTGCCTTCATGTTGCGTAAAGTCTAATGGAAGAGACAGACAATGAGTAAACAAATATATAACATAATATTTGTTCTTGGAGGGAAAAGGATAAAGATACGAGAGTGATAAAGAAAAAGAAAGTCTAAGTTAGATTGGTCAAAGAAGATGTCTCAAGAGGTTGACTTTTGAACAAAAAGCTGCAGTGAGGGAGGACACAGCAGAGAGCACAGCAGTTAAAAACCCTTAGGAAAGACTCCGTTTGATGTGTTCAAGGAACAATTAGAAGGCCTGGGTGGTTCTTTCCTTTCCCTAATGCTCAGATGGAATGATGTTTTTCACATCATTAACATTTTATTTTAATTTAAAATGCTTCTAACCAACTAACCTAGAGCTATGGAAAGAAATCCTTAAGTATTCAGTTATTTAAATATTTCACAGGGGCAAAGTGATTGTTGTTGTTGTTTTGTTGTTTTTGTGGTTATTCCCCTGAACAGATCGCACCAGGCAGGAATCATATGTACGAGAAATGCTGACATCTCTTGATAATTTGGACAACCGCGTTGTTCAGCCTCGTCTGGAGAACTTATTCTCTAGGAGTCGTTGGAAAGAGCAGTATAAGGTACACAGGTTTGTTTTTGAATCTCTGGAGGGTGGGGGAGAGTGGGAGACCTCTCAAGATTTCAGTGTTCTGTTGGGCTGAGCAGTCTTCTCAGTTATTAGCATTTTTCTTTCTTAAATAATCAGCTGCTTGTTTCTGACCACTTCTAAAGGCTATTATTATTTTAATTATTCACTTAACTTATCTATTCAATAATTAAGTGGCTCTAAATGATGAATAACTTTAGAACATCTTTAGTGCTTATCCCATGTATTAAAAAGAGGAGGTTTTCATCCTGGCCAATGTGGCTCAGTTGGTTGTAGTGTCATCTCTTACAACAAAAAGTCGTGGGTTCGATTACCCATCAGGGCACATGCGGGGTTGCGGGTTTGGTTCTCTGTCGGGGCATGTACCAGAGGCAGCTGATTGATGTCTCTCGAACATCCATGTTTCTCTCCTCTCTCTCTCTCTCTCTCTCTCTCTCTCTTTCTCTCTCCCTTTCCCTCCCTGTCCCCCCCCCAAAAAAAAAACAACCTTTTTTAAAAAATCCTCACTCGAGGATATTTTTCCATTAAGATTAAGAGAGAGTGGAAGAGAGAGGGAAAGACAGAGAGAAACATCAATGTGAGAGAGACACATTGATTGGTTGCCTCCTGCACAAGCCCCTACCAGGGCCAGGGCCAGGGAGGAGCTTGCAACCAAGGTACGTGCCCTTGACTGGAATCAAATCCGGGATCCTTCGGTCCACAGGCCGGTGCTCTATCCACTGAGCAAACTGTCTAGGGCCCTCCAAAAATCTTGAACATGTCCTTGGGTGAGGATTTAAATAAATAAATAAATAGATAAATAAATAAGGAGTTTGTCTCATAGAATGTTAATTGTTGTTTCAGAAAAGAAATTGTTTAAAAAGTTTAAGAAACAGTGGGTTTAACTTAACTGGAGGACTTTTCAATGACATTAATGTGATAATTTATACTGTAAATCCTCAAGAGAGCCATGTAGTATGTAAAACTTTCCATATTGTGTTTTACTCTGAGACTCCTTATTGTGGAGTACTTATACCTCCTAGGATAATTGGTTTCCATAATGCAATTTGGGGATTACAGCCTAGGTTGTCTTTAACATCCTCCACCTCAAAATTTTGTAATTCTACCAATTTGAGTAAAGCATCTTTTTAATTTATAAGATTTATTGGATTCCTTGTTATCCTCTAGATTTCTTTATGATCTCTAATAGTAGAGAGTGCACTAATGAATTTTAAGGTTTCTTTTCTCTCTCTACTTCTAACATTCTATCTCTAATAATTGTTAGCAAGAGGAAAATGGCAAGATAAGTGAGGTTCAAGTTCCCTAACATCTTTCTAGCACTGAAATCATTAGCTACTCGACCTCATTTATGTCAGGAGATTTGGCTTCTCTCAAGGCCTGTTCAGCCTTAAATTACCTGATGATAAATTAGACACAGATGGTTTCAGTTAAAAGACAGTTATAGGAAGAAGACTTTAATTGAGTTTAGGGTATCTTTTTGACTTTCAGTATTTTTAACCTCTCTAAACTCCAGTTTCTTTCTCAGATCCAGAAAATATTTACCTACTTTATAGGGAAATATTTACTTACTGGAAGGTAAAGCAGGTAGTACAACTCTTAGAACATGATGTAAATATTTATTTTTTAATAGAAAGAAAAACAGCATGACTATTTGTTCCTTTAATTTTGCCAAATAATTTACATGCAAAGTAAAGTTTCTTATTCTATCTTCAAAGTTAACCCCCTGAGGAAGGCACTATTATTTCTTCCGTTAGAGATGAGGAAACTGACTCAGAAAAATTGAGTAACATAAGGTTATACATTGAATAATGAGCCAAACCAATAAATATGTAAACCTAGAAACCTCATGTTTCCAGGGTTTCTCTGACTCCAAAGCCCATACCCCTGTGCTGTATTATGCTTGACCCCATATGGTAGGTTATGCTCCATTTGGGTAACCCAGTGTTTGAAATAATATAAGATACAAAAAAGAGTGCCTTAAAAATGTAGAGACAGATGATTCTGTATGATCTTGGTCAGGATAAGCTAGGTTATTCTATAAAAATCAAATAACATGACAAAGAAAATAAACCCACAACAAAATCTCAATTGCGTAACCCAAGAGTTTATTTTCCACTTACCTTGGTTGTCCAGTGTGAGTCCACAGGAGTGCTCTGCTTGTCGTCCTCTCTCAGGGAACTAAGCTGATAGAGCTTTCTGCTCAGCATGTGCTTCCTGACTAACACAGAAGCAGGGAGGGAAGGTGCTTAGTCACCTATTCATTCTGCATGTCAGCCTGTGAGGGACATGTGTCATGAAGTGTCATGAAATATGAGAAATAGTGAAGGTAGACAAAAGGCCGTGTTGTTGTGAATCATCCAATGGAAAAAGAAAACTATTCGTCTGTTGGATGCTTAATTAATAGAGAATGTGAAAGTGGCTTAGTAACCCTGCTAATATGCTCCTTGTGTACAGTTCAAATATTGTGGCAAAACCTAATCTATACTACTAATTAGAACAGTAATATCTAGCGGGCCTAGAGCACAAGCAAGAATACTCAAGCACAAGTAATTTCACAGCTTAATAAAGCTTATTTATGAATGCCAAACATTTTCTACTTGTTTACTTACTGCTAACTCAGCTATTCCACTGTCCACATCAACACTGACCATCTAGCAATCCTAGCTCCAAGTTGTTTATTTTCCAGTACTTTAGTAAGCAACCAAAGGAGGATTAAAATATTTCTGGAATATTTTGTGGAAAATATATAATTCACACAATGGAGACTAAATGTGATCCTGTTTTTTTTCAGTTGTTGACTAACCTAAACCTTTTATTATATTGTGAATTTTTGCTGCTCATTATTTCCTATCTTTAACTAATGAATACCTCATTAACATTAACTAGAGATGAGAGGAAGGAAAAGAAATAAAACTTGTGAAAATCACAACTTAGTAACTCATAAGTGTGAGGGATATAACTGCTTTATTTTCTAGTCTGGTTTCTTTCCATTTAATATTTCTAATTTTAAATTTATTTTTCTATTGTAAAAAATCCCTTGTCACACACTTACTGTGTGCTCAGTATTAAAGTTAGAAATACCAGTGTTTTGCTCTTACATCTCATCCTGTTATGATTCCTAAAATTAGTTTAATCTGGTTACGTTCTTTTTATGTTGTTTTTGTTGCCCTCATTCTAATCCTTTAAGGCTTAATTACATCTTTTGTTTTCAGGAGCGGGTAGGAAGTTATTCTAATGTGAGCATCTGTCCAAAGACTGCTAAAGACTGTTCCTGCCAGGCTTGCGGGTTGCATCGCCACTGTGCATATTTAGTGAGATTATCAGGGAAGCAGTACAACCCCAGGACTATGAAAACTGATGATTTCATGCCATGGGACAAGCAGGTATTTTCCCCGCTCTCATTTCAGTTTTCAGTATTTGGGAATTTTAAATACATAAGCTTGCACAAATAACCTTAAGTTATTTTTACAAATGGAGAAAGCACTAGGTAAAGGGGAAAGGATACAAGTTTTGAATTTGAAAAATACGTCTTATAAGCAGATTCACTTCAATTCAGTAAAATACTAAAATCCATGCATATTCTCTAGGTACAGTAAGTACACTTCACCCAAATAGTGAGGGGGAGTGGGAGGATGAGGATGAAAGGTTGGTAACTGGGGCAGGAGAAGCAGATGTCCCCTTTGGGGTCCAAAGGAGAATTTGACCCAAGTGGAAAATTTTATGATCTACCAAATTGACAGCCCACAAGCAAACAGTAATTGAAGATGCCTGCTCATCCTAATATGAGAGTTGGAAAAAACCATGCCCCCACCTAGGCTATATCAGAAGTGTGTCACGCTAGAGCAATTACCACATACTTAAGGTGCTGTTAATTCTGGTGGAATAGACAAAACTGAAGAAAACATTTGAAATATTTGAAGAAAAGTATTTGATAAATGATAGCAAAATAGGACAATGGAAAGAGAGAAAACGTGTAGATGTAGACTAGTTTTGTTTCTTTTTAAAATCTATGTAAAAGTGTTGCATTTATAAATGCAAAACTATTGATATTGAGAGCTTCCTCTGGTGAGTCTGTGTATCCGTGAGGGGTGTATGTGTGTTTTGGGGGCTAGAGATTCAAAATCGACTCTAAATACTGCCAGTCAGTTATTAAGATACAAAGATACTATTTATCTGAATTCTGCTAGGTTGGGTAATATGATTCCTCAGTATTACTGGGCAATAATTGACCAGATCCCTCCGAACAATCTGAGTGGCAAGAATCACTTAGAAAGTGTGTATTGAGGATAATGAATTCAGAATTCCATCTTTAGTGTTTTATTTCGCAAGTAACTATAAAAACACATTTCTTAACATAGTCATATGTAAATTTCCCCATCCTTTAAAACTGATTATGACTTTATGAGATAAGACATCTAGACTCTTAATAAAAGTGATTTAATACTTTAAGGTTCATTTTCTGTTGTATAGATAAAACTATTGCTATACAGTCCCTGTCTTTGCTGTCTACAGCTAATCTTGAAGGGGGTATGAATTAGAAAACCATTTCTGGAGTTCTGATAGCCTGTGAAGGAATAAGGACTCTATAAAATAGTTGATTCAAATACCTAAACAATAAGAGAGTTCATGAAATAAAAGCAAAGAACATTAATACACCAGTCACACAATGGAAAAATATAAAAGTTAAATATATTGGAAAATGATTATTCTCTATTTAAATGCATACAATTAAAACTACCTAAAGATGCCAGTCAGTAGCTCTCCAGTAGCAGAGTACTTCTAAGTCAAATGACAAAATGCAGTTCTCTCAAGGCTGCATTGAAACTAGCAATTTCATGGGAAGTAAGATTCCTAGACAAAGAAAGGATGTGCTATATCTTTTTAGATACTAGATAACAATATCTAGCCAGAGTTAAAGAGTTATACATATTTGGTGCCTGTAAGTTTATTCTTGGCAAATTAATTCAGTAAAAGCAAATAACATAATCATGAAGTTCATTGAAGATTATTTATAATTAAGAATGGGAAATAATCCCAATAAAATATTAGAGTAGTGATTTAATAAGCTAAGTACACCATTATTTTGTGATAGAACAAAATAATATTTTGAAGGTTATGAAATAATGCTAGGTTAAAGCAAAATAATAAGCAATGTATATACTACCTTGCATCTATGTAAAAATGTGTGTATGTTTGTATGTATGCTATGTGCAAACATTAAACTAGTTATTGTGTATATTAAGCTAGTGTGGTTGAAATTCTTTAATATTACATTTTTTTCAGTCATTTTTTTTACTTAAGACTAAGACTCACTTATTACAATTCTACTGAACTACAATGTCAATTCATGTATGGAAAGGAAAGGGAAAGAGGAAAAAAGGAAAGGAGGAAAAACAAACCTGTTTTTGATCAAAGGTATTAAAGAGACTGTGATCATCCCCATACCCACCCTCGGGTTATTTTGAAAAGGAATTCTCCATGTTGTGTTTCTGCTTATCGCTACATAAAATTGAGACTTCTTGGGGTTAGCTGGAATTCTCTTTTAAGGTGCAAATAATGCTTTAAAAGAATAATCTTAGTGAATTTGTTTAATGATAAAACTTTTCCTTTTAGCTAAGATTGGCTTCTTTGAAAGAAAGAATGCTTACATGGAAAGTAGACTTAATGGGAGGAGCAATGTTAGTTATAGCAGTCTTGGGTCCGATACTGAGATGAGAGGCCTTGGACCACCAGATGGTGGTGAAGTCAGAGGGCATAGATGAGAAGGAACTCACCTGCAGGAAAGAGAGATGTAAAATCTGAAAGGCAGTTGGGAGAACTGTCAACAATTAATTTTCAATTTTGCCCAGAGTCTGTCCAGATTCCTGAAGGTGCTTAAGATCTGATGGGGAGAGGCAGTAATTATGACAAAAAGCAATGAATAATGTATCCATACAAAAAAGGCCAAGAGGAAGTAGAGTCCCTTGACTCAGCCTATTGCACTAACTGTTGCCAGAGACCTAGTATCAGAAAGCAAACTCCTTTCCATCCGTCCTCTTCCTGAGCATCTTTTTGCTTTCTCCTCCGTACTTCCACAAGGAGCTGGCTCCTCCTATGTAAATAGAGCCTAGAGCAGTGATGGCGAACCTATGACACGCGTGTCAGAGGTGACACGCAAACTCATTTTTTTGGTTGATTTTTCTTTGTTAAATGGCATTTAAATATATAAAATAAATATCAAAAATATGTCTTTGTTTTACTATGGTTGCAAATATCAAAAAATTCCTATATGTGACACGGCACCAGAGTTAAGTTAGGGTTTTTCAAAATGCTGACAACACGCCGAGCTTGAAAGGTTCGCCATCACTGCCCTAGACTCAGTTTTCCTCAGATTTATCAGTTTATAGACTAGGCTAGCCTGCATATAATCATTTATGTCATTTTGCCTATCTGCTCTGACAACAGTCACAACAGTACTTATTTCTCTGTCTCTGGTAGGTTTTAATACTGTCTATCTTGGAATTCTGTCCTTAATGTCCAGAAACGCAGTTAGATAATTAAAAGTAGTGTCTGAATACATTTCTGGACATTTAAGGACATTATTCTAACAACATAGATTAGTTTTACTTGTTTTATATGCCAAGCCAGCTCAGCCAAGTGTTCACAAGCCTGAGTGAGGGCGGTGAAGGATGGAGAAATGACAGACAAAGAGAATAAGCTGGGTCTAGGTGGATCTTCCTGTGCCTGGCTGAGGTCACAGAGAGAGATCCAGAGGCAAGCTGAGCCTTTATTTTATAGCCAGAGGTAAGCAAGGTAGTGGTCACCATAGTTACAATGTTCTTGTGTGTTTCACTTGTTTTGGCAGCACTTGTTGCATCTCCCTCAGCCCATTAAGATAAGATCTAGGGAGCCTCATAAGCTCAAGCCTAATTATGCTAAGAGGACTGTGCCCTCTAAGCTGGGACTTGTTTGTGACTTTGCCAACAGGTCAGTCCGAGGCTTAACCCTATAGCCGCGCCTTACAGTTTTATACTTTATATAAATGGGATTCTACAGTGGACATTGCGTTGTACTGTATATATTACTTCATACAGTATAACAAGGTGAAAGTGCACTAAGATTAAGTACTACAGCTATTACTTACTGTTTTCTGTGAAGCCTTACTAGCAGTGGCTTAGCTCTTCCTTATAAAATGTGATCACATTTTAGAGAAAAAAAATAGAGTAGGAATATTCTAAAGGTAATTTTGGGCTTATTGACCGACATAAGTGTAAGTAGATGTTAGGAAAATAGGAATTAGAAATAGGAAGAAGTAAACTCTAATGTGTAATGTTTTCAATGGACACTTTTGTTAACATACAGGGGGAAAAAATTAAATAAGGATTTTTAAACACCTTTCCTTCTCTCTTGTCCAAACTTAAAAATTCTGTACAAATAAGTTCCTCTGCAGAATACAGTGTGGTGGAAATGAAAATCACATTATTATCCTAATGTATTTTATCCCAAACATCAATGAGAGGCTTCCCCAACACAGTCTACTTTGATGATAGAAATGGAGAGACACAGGGTACCCCTAGTGGCCACTGCAACTATGGTGGTATTTTTTTACTCAAAATGAGAGGTATTGTCAAGTAAATTTTTATAATTGATGGGACTGATTTAATGATAATGTTGAAATGGGAAAGATACTTAGAGTAAGCAAACAAATGTACGACACCTGATTACGGAATTTCTAATGATCTGAAAAACAAAAAGGTTTACACAGAATATGAACAGAAATCTGAACATTAGAAAAGCTTGTAAGCTGTCCCAAATACCATCTTCACAGGGTAATGCATCAAACCTGACAGTTGCCAATTATCATATTTAACTTTTAATTATTTTTGCCACTATACTCTCAGATTATTTACTGGACTCATCACCTCTGTGATCCCTTGCAATGTGGCTTCAGAAAAAGGGTGCAATGCTTTGTCAAATAGAATACAAGTTACATAGATCATTATTGTTACTATATCACTGTACTGAACCCTTGAAAGTATAACCCTTTAGTGAATTTATGCACAGAGTTAAATACATAAGTTAGCAAGGTTACTCCATGAAAATAAGGTTAATCATGTTAGAATGCCTGGAGCCCTTTCTGTTTCATGTCCTACAGTGAGTGAAATAATGTGGGTACAGTTATATTTAATTAGCCCAGTGCAGTGACACTTTCCTCATTTTAGCTATAGGTGTGGATAACAAAGTGTATATTCAGAATATTCTGAAAGGGAAATGTTTCTGTTGATTGATTTCACAAGAAGAGTATTATTAATTATAAAATCCTAGAAGCCCATTAAACATAAATATTAAAATCTTTGCAGTTTGCTAACAATAAAATCTATAATAATACAAGCATAATATGCTAATTAGACCACACGTCCTTCCAGACGACCTTCTGGACAAAGCCAGGGATGCAAGGGAAGCCCGGGTCCCCGGTGCCAGAGGGAAGCTGGTGCCAGCAGCTGGGGAAAGGAAGGCCTACTCTTGCACAAATTTTGTGCATCGGGCCTCTAATATTAATATAAACAGTTCAGACTAATTAATTAAAGACATAGATATGACTAAACAGTTATTTTTTACTCTACAAAATTTTTTAGAAGAAAGTGTTAAGTAAAAAACTGCCAGTACTTAGTACTGGTATGAGAGTTTGTTTTAATTTCACATGTTGCTTATAAACTAGATAATTATTGTAATCCAGGCATTCTAAACGCAGTAACTGTGTACGTACAGCAGCCTGCATGCTTTTCTTGATAGGTGTTCCTATCATCTATCTTACTAGCCGTTTTTCTCCTCCTTCCCAAATGCTTTTTTTTTAACGACTTAGTTTAAGCTTCACCTACTTGAGGACCCTTCTCCCCTCTAGATTGAGTTAATTGTCCTGCCTTTGTATCTTGATAGAATCTTGTGCTTAGTATTTGATAAATTGTTTTGTAATCATTTGTTTTACTCCCAAGCTCTCCTATAAGCTCTCCTAATACAGGTAGGGCATCTTTCACTTATGAATCTCCAGTGCTCAGCCCAATACTTGGAACATAGCAAGTGCGCAGTTTTTGTTAACTGGGTTATATAAATAAGTGAAGGTAAAAGAATCATTGTATAAACATTTAAAAAATGAATAATGCATTAGATTCTACTATTAAAATCTGAAAAGCAGAAAGTGTATATTCATTGCTATATTATTCACATCGTGTGTCAAATTATGTTTATTTCTTGATTTAGGAATATTTTATTGGCAGAATTTGTGCTAACCGTACCAGAGTTTATCACAATCTGAAACATTTTAAATTCAAGCTGTATCAAGAATGTTGCTCCATAGTAAATACAGAAAAACGTGAGGATGAAGACGTTAATGAAACAGTGGAAAGAATTCTCAATCAGTCAGAAGAAAATGGCTGGATTAAGGAGGTAAGGTGGATATAAAATAATCCTCCCATTCAGTAGATTCTAGACTAATTATGAGCAGCAAAGGGATTGCAATGATTAGAAGGCAGCGAAATTTAAAAGGGAATCTCTCCTTCTCTCCCTGTGTTTGCATTTTCTCTTTTTTCACCCATTTCTATCATGCTTACCATTGTCCTACCCTGAATAGGTAATGTTCTAAGGCAGTCATTCAGCTCGTCAGGTAACTTTTAATCAGCAATAACACTATCCCTCAATGGAGGCTTCCTGTCCTTTCACTTTTAAAGATGTGCCATTGCTGCCGTGCGTATGTATGTATATACATATATATATAAAGTCCCCTTGTTTTCTTTGCCACAGTACAGGACTCACCTCTGCTTGTCTGCTTCCTATTCTTTAGAAAAGTTCTTGTGACCTGAGAGTGAAGAAGCCCCTGGTGCGAATGTGAGGAAAGGATCCTGGCTGCCAGGTCTACTGCCGCCCACATCCTCTTCTTGAGGACATGGGACTTAGCAGTGAGCACTGCCCCTGAAGATTGAGGGGAATGCAGAGCTTTTAGGCCAGGGCACTGATTTTGTTCACCCCACATCCTGTTGATCACGAAATTTGGCACCAGGGATCCAGTGGAGGTTCTGAAGAGTGCACTGGATTCCTGGAGGTCTGCTGGCAGCTCTAAGCTCTGGTCTGCTCCCAGAGCTTCTAGACTTGTTTATGGTACACGCAAAGGATGCTCATAGGATTGAAATCTTTAAGACAGGTCTAGTCACATGAATGTGGAAGAGAGAACACATAGGAGATTTTCAGGCAGATCAGATCAACAGTATATTTAATCTTTAAAAAAAAAAAAGGCCTGACTTGAGATCCATTGCCGGAGTTATTTCTCTCGTAGGGGAATTTGTGAAAGAGGAAAAGGAAAAAGAAGAGAGCTCAGAGAACAAACTTATGAGCAAAAGGAAAAAGAGAACAAGAAAACAGGAACTTCTTAGGACGTGTGATGCTCCGCAGTCTCCAGGTCTGGAGAATGACATCAAGATGGGTTTCCCTTTTGACATATCCTCCTACTACAAACCACTGCCCAGGGAATCTCTTTGCCAGCTCCCCACATCTTGACACTTAAGTCTTGCTTCTCTCATTCGACTCTTTCCAGCTTTTTATCTTTTACGTTGCTTCTGCTTCTCTCACTCCCATTGCTTTCCTCCCTGTCTTCTGTTCTTTTTCAGTTTGCTGTAGGGAGGAACCACCTTTTATCCAGTAAGTCCTGTCTTCATTTTCCTAGATGACATTAAAGTCTTAAGTGCTTTTATTGATGCAGTTAAGTGTTGCCAGCCCTTCAGTGGAGTTGAAAGATCTATTGGGACAGCACATTTTTAAAGAATTGTGTACTAGGCGTCAAAAAAAAATCACTGTGCCTGTATCATATATACTATATAATTATATATTTGGGAAGAACAATAAAATTTTTGCAGAAAAAAACTAAAACTATTTTAAAATTAAATACCTTGGAGAAAGCTTAACAGGGTTTGTAACAACAGAAGGGACCTAGAATAAGAAAAAATATTCTTAGAAAAAGAAAGCTAAGTGTTATATTCTGCTTAAAGAATAATACTCAGTGTTGGGCATGGATGGAATTTCAAAATCATACACATTTAGAACAATGTGCACTTTTTTTCACATAAAATATCAAAGAGGCTCATTTTCTTTTTGAGATTCCCTTCAATTTTAAAAATATTTGTCCATAGACTATCTCCAAAGATTTCTCCTGGAAACTAAAGAAGTTCATAGCCAACATGAACCCATGTGCAGCTTTTTGTGCTGTGCTTAAAGTCCAAATTGACACGGTGCTCTGGCATTCTCAGCATCACTCTGCCCGCTCCTCAGTATCTGTGTGTGTTTAGAGTGATGATGCCTCCTCCTCTGGCCACAGTTGCAGTGCCAGGGCTCAGTGCTCCTTGAGTGGTTATATAGTTGTGGCTCTTTATGCTCTTGCCTCCCAATTATTATGTCAGCCCCTTTACCTTACACAAACTATTTATTCCTGTCACCCCTCCCCTCTTTGCTCTTTCATCAGCTCAGGATATCTCAGCATTTCTTCCTCAAAACCTGCCACCTAGACTGACTTTCTTCTTCTTGTTTTTCCTTCTAACAGTTGAACTAGGAAGATCTACTTTTAACCTAATTACATTAAAGATTAGGAGCAACTTGAGTGTAAAAAAATGATTAAGTTGCCCAGCTGGTGTAGCTCAGTGGTTGAGCATTGATCTATAAACCAGAAGGTCATGGTTTGATTCTCAATCAGGGCACATGCCTGGTTGCTGGCTTGATCCCCGGTGCGGTGCATGCAGGAGGCAGCCGATCAATGATTCTCTCTCATCATTGATGTTTCTCTCTCTCTCTCTCTCTCTCTCTCTCTCTCTCTCTCTCTCTCTCCCCCCCTTCCCTCCCCTTCCTTTATGAAATCAATAAAAGTATATTTTAAAAAGAGAACAAATGATAAAATTATAATAAAACCAAAATATGTAATAAATATAATAGAAATATATGTCTCATTCTAAATTTGAGTGGAAGAACATACTATCATATGCTGTTGGCAAAATTCTAACAAATTTTTTTTGTTATGATGAAAGTGCATATGATGATGGGGTTTCCAGGGAAGTTGAATATAGTTGGGGTGGGGTGGTGACCACTTGAACACCAGAAAGTGAAGAAAATATGTCAATACAAGTATCAAGTTTCCATTTTACAGATGTATTTTAAGTAAATTTCAAACGTATTGCATAAATATTGTTACATAAATAAGAATTTTTAAATTACGATTGGGTATCCTGCCCCTTCCCAAAACTCTTCTCACTTGTTCTCTTTCTTTATCCCTTTTTCACTTGAAAAGATTTTTTGTCTTCTCCTTAAACTGATGCTTCTCAAAACATGGCCCCAAACTACCTGTCAGAATCACCTAGAAGTTGGTGAAAAATCTGTGGTCCCTTGCTTCACTGCAGACCTATTAAATGTGAAGCCTTTGGGGACGTTAAAACCCAGTGGTTAACAAATTAGGTGATTCTTAGCAAATTAAAAATTGAGGGCCCCTGCTTAAAAGTAAATGCTGCACTAGGTTCCCCCATTTCTTTTTTTGGTCAAACTGCTACTTCTTAGATGACACCAAACTTCCTTTTATGTTCTGAACTCTTCCTCATGCTTCTATTCCCATAATTCCATTAGTTTTCATCAGTAGGTCCATCTGGCACTGTAAGGGCTTGGCATAATAAGACCAAAACTCCAAATTTTTAACAAAAATATAATAGTAGAGAGATGCCTTCTCTCTGAGTTTCACTTTCCCTTTTTTTCCCCTTTTTTTCACACTGAAGCTGCACCCTGCCCCCCCACCCCCGTAAATCTCAGAAATAGCATACTATAATGGTTAAAAGCATGGATTTAAATATTTTCTAGCAGTAGAATTTGGGAGCAAATTTCTTCACTTCTGTAAGCCTACATTTTCTCTTCAGTAAAATAGGAACTAAATAATAATAATTAGAGCTTTGATTATGGAGATTAAATAAATAACACATGGTAAGCATTTAGTATAGGACCTAGGAATTAGTAAGTGGTCAATGAATGTTAGCTAGTATTGGTAATAAAAGCAAGGAGAGGCTTTCCTTCCTTAGTATAGCTCAGATAAACTATAACTTTCTAAAATATAATAAATAAGAAAAAATATAACAATAATATGAAAAGCATAAAACCAGTCAAATATTTAAAGTATAGGCTTCTAATCCTAGAGAACTTTACTTATATCTAATAGAACCTGTCTGGGTACGAGGTGAAGAGAATCCCTACGTAGTCCGTAGGTTATTTCTGCTGTTCTTCTTTTCGAGTCAGAGATCTTTGTGGGTAGGTGGAAGGTTCCATGCCCCTATCTGGAACCTTCCATTTACTACAAAAGTCAGGGTCATCACCTCACTTGGAGAAGAATCAAAGTTCATAAGTAGAGTTAAGAAACCATTAGTCAGTTAATCTCCCAACTGAGGTAAGCACTGGGAACTCTATCACCTTGAAATCTCCAAATCATTCTGACTCCTCTCTCTCTCATTCGAACCTTATCTTTACTCTCCTTCTTCATTGCTGTCACTCAGATTTGGGCCCTTATTACTTAAATTGTTGCAGTAGACTACTTGCCAAACTCTTCTAGAATGGATGTTTTACCTTAAAAAAAATGTACCTTGGACCATGTCAATCTTCTGCCTTAACACCTTTAATAACTTTCCATGGCCTGTCATACTAGTGCTGAACTCCTTAACCTAGCGTTTCATACTTTTTATTTCCTGACCTCAACCTCTTTGGTTCAGTCTTATCTCTCTCGATTCCTCTAAAAAAACCTGATCATAGTAAAAACCCATACTTCGTCTTGTCACTGTTGTCTCCTAATGAACTCTCCCCACCAAACCTCTGCTACCAAATGGTTTTTCCCAGGACAGCTTCGATGCCATTCTTTCTGGTCACCTCAACTAACCATGCTCCCTCTTCTGAAGACTCAGAACAGTGTCTATCTGCTTTATGGCATTTGTTATTGGTTGTCATTGGTCTATTGCTACTGAACTCTATTCTCATTAGGGGTAGGAATAGCAATATTTTTGTACCTAGATCGTCATTAGCAGAGGATTTGATATATGTTATGCATTCAACAAATTTTTGAATAAATTATTGAAGTTGTTACACTTCTACAATAAATATATTAAAAATACATAGTTTGCAAGAAAGTTACGAAATTAATAATAATGCTTTATGTGAGTTAGAAATTTAAAATTTAAATTTTTGTCCCTTTTTATATTAAAATATTTTTATTCATGATTACCATGAAATGAAATTGTTCCTGTTCCTGTTTGTAGATTGAAAAGGCCTAGCTTACCTCCATTCCTTTAAGTAAAATAACTAGTTTTTTTATTGTATACACAGAAATATGATCTACTTCAAAGATATCTCGATGATGCGGATTACTTTCAAGATGAGAAGTTTGCAATGTAACACTTTTTCTTCAGAGATTTTATGAATTCCTGTAGATGTGAAGATCATGAATGTCTACTTCAAAGATATCTCGATAATGCGGATTACTTTCAAGATGAGAAGTTTGCAGTGTAACACCTTTTCTTCAGAGAAGATTTTATGAATTCCTATAGATGTGAAGATCATGAATATTGTTTCTCTGTATCATGTGACGTATTTGTATATTTTCTGTATATCTTCATGGCAAATTATCTTGTTTAAAACATGTTCATCTTAATTTCCATGAAGTGGTACTCTACAGTCTAATAAACTTTTATCTGCTATACATAGAAAACATAGGCCTAATCACTTTTAAATGTATTTTGAAGTTAATAACAATATCTTTATAACAGATGATTATCAATCAAGTGAATAAATGTTCATGTCCTGTCAACTTAATAGAAAAATACTGTATTTTTAAAATGTACTTAGACCAACATCAACATGTATGTATTGCTAACTAATATCGACATGTATATATTGCTGACAGACATTAACATGTATGTATTGCTGAATCCCTGCCCAGATGTGTTTGTTATCCTATTTTCACTAATTTATTTTTTACTGCTATCATGTAAATCAGTTGGCCATGGAATAGACCTCAGTGTTTCATTCAGTTCAATGCCCTTGCCTCAGAATCAGACTATAGTAATTTTTTCTTTTTCTAAAGTTTCCCTTAGAAATAAATTTCAGGCCTCCAGAGTTTTAATCCTCATATTCAGTAATCATTTAATAATATGTATTTTCATGCTTCGTAATGTTTTCCTTTTTTCTTTTCAATTTTGTCTATGTGTTAATAATTAAGATGTATTTTATTGCTTTTTAACAATAATTTTATAATATAACTATTTCTGTTAGGATCAGAAGTTCTCAGAGAGATAGATTCAGCCAAATATATTTTAAAAGTATACTTTGGCATCTGCATTGCTTTGCACATCTAAATGTTTCCATAATTTAATAAAAGTAAAATGGTTTCAGAGAACAAATGGACTGTCTATCTGTTTCTTTAATTCCTAAAAGTGATGTTCCAGCAAGTTCTATTTTACTGTAATTTTAGATACTTGTTTCTTCAAATGTTCGTTGAACCTGGCTTCATTATGTGGTTCATTTCATGGACTTCAATGTAGCTGCATACATAAAATGCTACATGTTATTTAGTCCTTTCATCAAGATTACTTAATATTTTCTGCAATTTTTTGAAATTATTCCTATTATTGTAAACAAAACAGGTAGCAAAAGCTCACAAAGTGGTGAAAATACCAATGCTGATGTCTCATGTGAGGAGTCCAGACCTTATTGCTGATGTGTGAGGTCATTGCAAATGAGCAAGCTTCTTCGGTAGGTGTTTGGAGAGAGAATACAAGAGGCTTTTAGTGCATGATACAGCCAACATGACAAAGATGACAGGCTGTTAGGAAATAAGAATTAGTATAGATTAGGGAGCCAAAAGCAAGAATCTATAGAAAACCAGAAATTTTGAAAAATAGAATGAATTTTTATAGGTATTATGACATACTATATTATTTTTATCATCATCATTGATATCATTCTTCAATATAACACTAAAAAGAAATAGTTTGTAAACTTAAAAATCTCACATGCCTGTGAACTTTTCAGATTTGGGCATTTATTACTATAGTGTTAGATGCTTTAGTGTTAGGTAGCTATGGATAGTGGAGATGATGAGAAAGACAGAATGGACGAAAGGGAAGTAATGCTTGAAAGAATGTATAAGGTTATTCAGAAGCTTTAGGGTTATAAGCAGGGAAAGCACTATAAAAAAGGGAAAATATTTATTTTATGGGGAGTTGGATGTAATTGACCAATTTTGTCTGCTCTCATATTCAGATGAGTAGTTCCATTCACTACTCATTTCTTGGCGGTATTATAGGACTTGCTTAGACTCCAGCATGTTGATTGAGGTGTAATTGCAGCCCTTGAGCTATTTTTGGGGATAGTCTGGCTTCCCTATAACTCTTTTCGCACTTGATATTGAAGCAGTAAGCCCAGTGGTTAAGAAAGCGTAAGTTGAACTCAGTCTTGAGTTCAAGTCTAGTCTGTTTTTCCCCAGTTACATGTACTGGAACAAGTAGTTTAATTCCGATGAGCCTCAGTTTCTTCGTTTATAAATGGGGTGAATAATACCTATCTTTCTGAATTGTTTGTGTATTAAGGGAGATATATGCTAAGCCCTGTGCCTGAAACAGTGATTGTAAATAAATAGTACCAGATGTGGATGATAATGATGTCAGCTTGAAATTAAATGGTTGTAAAGGTAAATGTGTGCAAAGACACCCTACAGAATGTCCTACACCACTGGAGTAGAGAATGAAAATGTGTTAAACTCTTGCTTGAGAAGTTTTTAAGATGTCCCTGTATAGCATGGAAACCAAAGTTGACATCATGTAGGAATAGTGGACTTGACCAAGGATTTGTGTTATTAATCAAAACCCATGCTACTGCACGCTAGAGTGAAGAGTAAGTGTTAAATTTAAATATTACATGTTTTTTTCATTTATCATGTATAGTTGTTGAATACAAAGTACCCATAGTACCAGAAGAGAGAATTTCTAATGAATAGAACTTTTTAAAAATCAAATATAAAATGATCAAAACTCCTTCACTTTTTATCAAGACCTCCTGAGAGAGTTCTCCATTCAAATTTGCATACCAACCAAGATAGAGTTCTGCCTTTCTCCACAGAGCGGTGAGGAACTTAGCCTGTGAAGGACAGAGAGAAGTATGTTCCAGGGAAAAGTATAAAAGTTATATTCCATCAGAGTGTACTTGTCCTCAATTCCAAACATTGCCAGATTTGTGGAAATAAAACGGTCTAAAGTAGGCCAGCTTATCTGGAACTAACTTGTAAATAAATTGCCTTTAAATGTTGGCATTGATTTTACCCACTCATTTCTATGCACGTCTCAGTCTGAAGCAGGACCATGTTACTGTGATGCCAGAGTTGGTGTAAATAAAGCACCATTGCTTGAGGCTTGAAATCCAATGACTTCCAATGACACAGAGTAATTATGGCCCCCACCATGCCAATATTGTGTTCACTTTAACTTGTCGTCCATAGCTAGTAACGACGAGCAGAATTCAATGTATAGTTTGGGATCCTAAAGGTAGGATCACCTGAAGATGAGGGGACATTAGTCTGTGTGAGAGACCTGTTTGGCTTGCGTCCTTCAACTTCTTGAAACTCACCTGCTACAACACATTGATTTCCCTCCTGACATATGTAAACCAGATAGCCATGCATTGGTGTCCTTGGCACGCTTGTATTTTCAAGGAAAATCTTTCTTTTTTCTTTTCCAGAACGAGTATTGGTAATTTCATCCTAAAATATTTTGTTGGTCTATTGGTTTGCTTGTGATCACCCGAGGCCAGAGGCACACAGGAAGGTAGACAAGATACCTGCCTGCCTGTAGGAGCTGTGGGTGTGATTTCCTCCTCTCCACCCCGCTCTCCCCACCCACCCCCAAGCCCCGCAAGCATGCAGTCACACAGTGCTCACCCCGCTCTCCCTGGGTGCTCAGGGGTGTCATTGACAACATATTGAAAAATGAAAATGATATCTCAGGGGTGGCATAAGGTAGGTCCGAGAGGGAAAATACATCCCCTGGCCGGGGATTTCTTAAACATTTACAGCTGATGAGGTAGTTGTGCAGAGGTTAGGGAATTTCCCGGGCCTTACCCCTCTGCCCAGGCTGGGGCTGGGGCTGGGGCTGTGGCTGAGCTGAGGCTGAGGCTGAACTGAGCTGAGCGCGGAGACGCGCAGGCCTGGGATTTACCTCTTCAGCCACTGGGAGGCCCTCTGCGCCCCCTTTCCCCGGAGCCCGGCGGCAATTACTCACTCGTGCAGTGGCACCAGCCTTCCACCAGGGAGCCCCGGATTCGCTCTCCCGCCCGCCTCTCCGCCCCCCTCCGTCCCCCCATCTGCAGCTTGCTGGCTCTCTCTCTCTCTCCCTCTCTGTCTCACTCTCTTTCTCTCCCTCTGCTATCGGAGCACAATGAAAGCCTGTGTATCGCCGTGACTCAGGGCAGCGGAGCCAGTGTCAGCCAAGCGGCCAACAACAGACGGGAAAGAGAAAGGAAAATACAAGCTACTTTTTTTTCTTCTTCCACCGATCAAGCGGAGCAATACCCGAGCGAGAAGAAGCACATTGCTTATTGCGAGTCCAGACCCTCAGATCCGCTGGCCGGGATGGAATGTACAAAAGTGGGCAGCGAAGTGGCCGGACCCGACTCGGTGCGATTTGCTGGAAGTTTGTAAGTTGGACCCTCGTTTGTAAATTACTCTCGCAAGAGTTTGTCTGTCCGGATCCTGTGTTAGAATAGAGCCGGGGGCGAGGAACAGAAGCGTACGCGGGGCGAGGGGGGGAGAATGTGTTGAAGGATCTCAGGGGCCGGGACTTCAGACCGCTCGCTCTCCGGTGAGGCTAGGAAACCTAGAGGCATGAGGGCTGCGCCGGGGACCGGATCCGCCGGACAGAACAGCATGGTCTGAAAGTCCAGGGACTGACACTGCGAACCATTGAGAAGCCGGCTCCCTCCTTTGGGAGAAGACACCCCACTGTCCCCCAAAGAGGAGAACACACCGGGGCAAGGGGAAGGGAGGAGGAATGAAAAGCCAAAAGACAGAAGTCTCTCTGGATGTTTGTGCGGTTTGAACATTGACTTCAGAAACCTCCTGAAACAGCACTTTTTTCTTTTTTTAAACCGGAGGAAAAGTGAAGGCTGAGGGTTGCCCAGATGGTGGTCGAAATGCGTTTCTCTGCAGAAACATCCCCTTAACGAATTTGCGGCAACAACTAGGTGAGGGGCAGCCGGGCTCTGGATTCATACCCCTCTCGGTCCCCTCCGCTGCCTCTTCCTGCCTCTGGCCGGGCAATCCCTCAGTTCTTGCTCTATAACCCCCGGTGGTGCGGTGACCAAGTACTTAGGGGCTCTTGTCCGCTTGGTGCGGGGGGACCCCACCGACGCCGTCCAACTTGTGCAGAGCTGTCAAATGCCATCAGAGTAAGTCGATCGGGGTTCCTCTCCCACTCATCCTCCGCCACCACCGGCTTCTTCTTTCCTGCTCCTCGTCCTCTTTTTACCAACGCCCCTCCCCCACCCCTTCTCCACTGCTCCCCCCCAAAACCTCGGAAGACCTCTATTCATGTGGCCCTGAGCACTGAGCCCACATTGTCAAGAACAGACTCGCCTGCACTAGCCAGCGGCCGCCCCCTTCCACCCCACCATCCCAGAGGCAGCAATTATTGTGTCCACGAAGATGGGGGACACAGCGCCCCCGCAGGCCCCCACAGGAGGGCTAGGGGCGGCCCCCGGGGCGGGCCTCCTGGGAGGGGGCTC